AGTGCAGTCTACACCTATCATAGATGGCAGTCCCAAGTATTTCTTCAATAACGATTCACTCATAATATCTAATACTTGACATACCTCGGCTTTGACTTCCACATTAGTATTAGGACTGAAGAAAATTGAGGCCTTCTTTGGTTCATAGGATAGGAATTTTATAGGAATAGGAAAATCATAGGAAGTGAGATGACATGCATGTCAAATCCTATAGAGAAAGAGATGCCATTTGGTGCATAGGATATGATTTTTTGCATTGAGTCTAGGCTAATGTTTTTTCCCTCCAAAACGTGAAGGATTGATTCCTATCCTACATAGGAATAGGAATCCATTCCTACAAACCAATGGGCTTCAAAGGAATTTTTCCTTTGCAAATCCTATCCTATAGAATTTCTACAAAAATCCTACAAACCAAAGGAGGCCTGAGGATTTAGCCACACTCACCATTTGCCCTGAAGCAGAACAATAATCATCCAAGATACTCCTTAGTGAGTGTGCATTTGCATAATCAGCCCTCATCAAGATTAAGGAGTCGTCCGCAAATAACAAGTGTGATATTTTAGGGGAGTCTCTACAGACCTGAACCCCCAAGAGCCTGCCTTGTGATTCTTCATGTTCAATTAAAGTTGAAAGGCCCTCTGCGCACAGTAAAAAGTGGTAGGGGATAGGGGACTCCCCTGCCTGAGCCCTCTGGTGGGTTTGGAAGGATTAGTCTCATTTGAATTAAACCTCACCATATATTCAACAGAGGTCACACAAGCCATATGATCAAATCAATTCATTTTTCTGCAAACCCAAGCTTGCCCAAAATACGGTGCAACCAATGCTTCGTTCATATAGTCCGAAACTCTAGCTTTAACTTTATTCAAAACATCCATGTTTGGGTGTACAACTTCAGAAGTAAACAACGACTTAAAATAATCCGAAATTAAATTTCCCATGGAGTCTACATCTTCCTTCCATACGCCATCATCTCCAAGAAGTTTCTGGATCTGGTTTCTCCTTCTTCTGGCCGTCGCAAAATTGTTAAAGAAGTTTGTGTTCCGATCCCCATACTTCATCCAGTTGGCACGGCTCCGCTGTACCCAATAGATTTCCTCCTTTTCCAGAGTTTCTTCAATGAGAATCAAAAGTTCTTGTTGCCGATCTATCGCCTCATCAGTAAGGGCCCCCGACTGCAACCTTTCAAGCTCCATCTTAAGTTTCTTCAGGCGGCGTTGTGGTGCACACAACACCGTCCGATCCCATGAATGCAGCTCTCTGTGGACTGCCGCTGCTCGCGCCGCAAACGAGTCCTCCTCACGCGTGTTTTCCCAAGCCTCAGTTACCCGCTGCGTAACATCATTTTCCTGCAGCCATCTTGCCTCAAAGCGACGACTTCCATCAGGTGGCCGTTGGACAACACTACTATCGCCTTCCAAGATCAGGACCAAAGGTCTATGGTCTGATTTAGAGTGCTCAGCATTGGTGATGGTTGCATCCGGAAATAGTGCATGGAACTCGCCATTACACACACCTCTGTCTAACCTTTCCCTCAGTCTCCTCCTTCTCCATGTAAATATTTCACCCTTATATCCCATGCCCTCCAATTGGCAGTCCACTAGCGCATCTCTGAAATTTTGCATCATTTGACTTGGGCGTGGAGCCCCTCCTTTCTTCTCATGGGAATATAGAATTTCATTAAAGTCACCAATGACCACCCAAGGGCCATTCATCTGTGGCCTAAGAGATCTCATATACTTCCAGGATAGATATTTGTCTTCCCACTTGGACTCGCCATAAAACCCAATCAATCTCTACATAGCTTCCCCCGGGCCATTCAAATGTTATGGTGATTGTTGCTTTATATATATAATAAAGCGGAGGGAAATCTTCTTTTTTTGGGTTAGCTTGTGCATACCAAATCTAGATTTGAGAAGCAAGACCGACCCACCGCAGCACGAGATATTTCTCATTCCGGCGGCCGGTGGCGGTGCCACGCACGCAGCTAGCGCGCGCGCACTCGATCGAAGAAAGTTGATGACAAAACATGCATGCCCCCACCTCCCAAACCCGGCCGGTGCGCCAAAGCCCAAAGGAGCCGAGACAAAGTGACGGCGCCCACACTCTCCGGCCACACGTCGTTCTCGGGAACACGTAATGTAGGGGGCCGGCCGGGGAGGGAGAAAGCTCGATCCATCCACCGGCCATGAAATCGACCGAGAATCTAACAGCCGCGGCGGCCAAATCATGGTTTAGCTTTGGCTTTGGGGCGCGTGCAATGCCCTTTTGGCGCTCGCTTGGCATGTGCGGGTGACAAGCCGCTGAAAGAGAGAGCCGCTTTTGCTGCCGATCGTGCCTGCGATTGGTCGCTTGAATTAACTAGTGATCGCGCTTTCGTTAATTTTGAGTAGACGATCAATCGAGAGATGCAGACAAGCCTTTCATGGCTGGCTGATTGCAATGGGTACGACGGAAGAAGCAGAGCAGCACAGGCACACATGCACATGCACGGCGCCTTCCTCCGTCGACGCGACGGGCCGTCGATCTTTCTCGGATCGAAAAGCTCCCCATGCCCATGTGCTCGCACACAACTACTGTCTCGTCAGTTAATCAAGTCCTGCTATAAACACCACATCAACAGTTAAGCTTCTCATCTACTCCCTCTGTCCCGTGTTATAAGACGTTTTTTTATACTTCCCTAATGTTAGATATTCTATGTAAGTGTCAAAAAATGTCTTATATCATGGGACAGAGGTACTCATCTATTTATGTGAGCTCGAATGAATAGTAAATCCTGGTCTGCATGAAATGTATGTTGTATTGAAAGAATCCTTGGAAGAAAACGAAAGTACTAACCAGACGATACATAACAGCCGAACACTGGACGATGCTTGATCTAGCCGCTGGCTTCCACTTTGTCCGACGCATGCACGGTTGGATCAGTGCGATCGTGCACAAATCGGCTGAACAACGTCGTGTGTATAGCAGCACTCGGAAGAAAAACAGTCCTGCTGCGTGGAAGATGAAACGTACGGAAAACAGAAGCTTTTCGAAGGAAAATTGTACGAAGGGAGGACACTCGCCAGCTGATCCGCACCGAAGCATGGACGCCCGGCCGGCCGTCACGAGTCGGCAAAGCTGACCTCGCACGGCGAGCGAGTACCGAAAACGAAAGGGAAATACAGGACTATGACTACGCCAATCTGAAATATGTGTACCATTTTTCACTATTTCTGACATACACGTTCTATACCTTGGATCTGAGGATTAAAACCAACTCTATACCATTTTGAACACTTATTCTGTACTACACGAGCATATGGATCCATGTGACAAGTGGCAATATTTTTACAGCCCGTAAAAGACAGCAGGGGAAAAGGCGAGGAGATGAAAGATTTGGCCTAAATTTCAGCTAGCTTTGCGAAATGTTTCGTTTGGTAAGAACAGCTGCACAGTGTACTGTGTCTGTGTGCCGCTCCCGCCCAACCCGAAATGCATGCATTATTTATGCGGCTCCTCGTAGGGGCAGGGCAAGCAGGACAAAAGGCAGGGACCGCTACATAGATGCGGCCAAGGTGAACCTTAGCGGCGAAGGCTTCCCAATGAAAAGCTTCCTGGATTAGCGGCTAGCTTAACTATCGAGATTCCCTTGATTAAGTCGAGAGTGGCAATGATCGATGGCGGATTAGCCGCCGCAATCCCTATATTTTGATCATTTCAAGAGAGGGTGCTTAGGTCAGAGGGTGTTTTTCGAGTAAGAAAAACAGACGATCTCGCAGATCTAAAGGGATGGACTACTACTCTACTATGAGTAGTGAAATTGTAAGAACGTCTTGCTAAATTGCACATTTCCATGACTGCAATTTGTAGCTCATTAACATACACTTTCAGTTGAGTGAAATTTATGGAATCGTCGAGCAGGTAGAAAATATGCATGCATGTAAATTACTACTACCTCTGTTAACTAATATAAGATATTTTAGATCACTAAAATAGTAATCTAAAATGTCTTATATTAGTTTTCAGAGGGAGTACTACACGACACAAATTTAGGCTATTACTCCCTCCATCCCAAAATAAGTGTCTTAGTATAAAGTTGAGTACTAAGACACTTATTTTGGGATAAAGGGAGTAGCAAATAACGCAAAAGATAATTATGGACTGAAGCCATCTGCATGATCCGTGCTGCCGAATAAGCACATCTGCTGACGATGCAACTCACGATCATTCAATTAGGACGCCAGAATGATAAGAATTAATATCTGTATATCCCCGTCTTTATCTATAAAGAGAGGCGAAAGTCTGTTTCAAGATATCCGGTCTTTGGATAACAGAGGCATATGTCGAATCTACAATGCCAATCAAAGGGAAGGGGGCAACCTCAAATCTGGCACACAGTTGGCAAGTTGCAACGCCAGAAGCAAATAATTGTCTTAGCATAACCTCAAAAGAAGCAAACCCAACTCTCTCATGGACTACAACTGTGGCGCATGAGCAAGATGTACAGTATGTAGCTTGGAGGCATGCAACCTACACTCGGGACCATGCACGACACAAGACATCCATTGGTGTTTCTGTTGCTTTTCTATGCCTGTGCATGATGTCCATCATCTTTTTTGCTACCACTTTGGCTTTAATCACCAGCCTTTGTTGTTACTGGTTACCTTTCCGCTACGTGCCCAGCCTCACTCATTTGCTTATGTTTCTTCGGTGCTTGTGATAATTCTTAGCTAACGCTCATGCCGTGCATGTGATGCTGAAGCTTCCTGGAAGCAGCCTTCAACATAGATAATGTATTAATGTAATCACCTTAGTGATAACTCATTAGCAGCTGAGCTCACCACCCCCTATATATACCCATGGAGCCCTAGGAACCAAACTCCATGCCAAAACACACAGCTCACACACACAGCCGCCATTAGCAACAATCGCAAGCAACTCCATTACCTAGCTAGATTCATCTTGAGTTCTTGACCGAGTTTCGTCTGCCGTCATCCATTTGGGGATCGATCTTCAAGATGAAGAAGGCGTCCAGGTTCCTGAAGCAGCTGTTCTCGGCCATCGTGGCGGCGGTGAGGGAGAGGTCTGCGGCGACGCGCGCCAGGACGAGCGCCGCGCGGACGCGGTTCGTCTTCTTCGGCATCCTCCGCAACAAGCAGCTCCTGAGGAACGCCATCAACAGCAAGATCCACGCGATCGTGGGGGGCGGCAGCGGCAGTGGCCAGCACCTTGTTGCGGCGAGCGGCGGCGGCAGGACGGTCGCCGTGCTGGAGAAGCTGCCGAGCTTCGTCGCGGATCAGGGGAGGAGGGCCGCCGTGCTGCTCAACAGCCTGCCGAGCTTCGCCATGGGCCGGGACGGCGGCAGCGACTCGCCGCTGGTCGGCGGCGGCGAGGAGCAGAAAGAGGAGGGCGACGAGGGCGTGGCGAAGCAGCTGCAGCTGGCGAGCGCGCCGGTGGGCGGGTCGGTGATCGATCTGGCCCGCGGCGCGGCGGAGCGGGGCGGCGCGGAGTTCAGGCTGGAGGACGAGATAGACCACGTCGCCGACGTGTTCATCAGGAGGTTCCACGACCAGATGAAGCTGCAGAAGCTCGAGTCGTTCAAGAGGTTCTGCGAGATGCTCGAGAGAAACTAATTAACGGAAACATCAGGCGGAATAATCACCGCGACGTTGATCGGTGCAGTGCATTCCACGGTTGTGGTTGAATCGATATAATTAGTCCCTATGATTAAGGCAGAGGTTTATCAATCAAGTAACCTCTGCAGCACTTGAAAAATAACTGGCGCGTACGTACTGTCGCTTCCTCTGAACCTTTGATTTGCAATCTGACGTACCCAAGCCGGCCGTGAGCAGCAGTCATAATAGCAAGAAAAGATGCACTAATTACAGCCAGTATACAATAGTATCTGCTTGTGCTGTGATCTACTGCTGCTGCTCCTCCTCCTCCTAGCTACTACTAGTAGTACATTATCATCATCGTTGAAAACTCTGTAATTAAACACTGATCAGCAATCAAATTTATGGATTAGCTCAATCATGGTAGATGTTCTACCATAAGATTACTATTTTTCAGATTTTTGGTACTTAATAATTAATACGACAATAATTTGCAAGTTTTGTCATTCAGAAATTCAGACTGATCCCTGTGACGACAGCACCAGACAAACTCTGTTGTGCTCCCCACTCAAAATTTATAATTTTAACATAGGAGAAATGAGAGATATGATTTCTCCTAATCATGTAGGGACATGTTTTTTTTTTTGCAAAAAGGGAGATAACATGTAGGGACATGTGGAAGTATCATTCCTAATAGAATAGTCTAATAGAATAGTCTGAGACACGTGTAGGACAAGTAATCACACAAGCACAAGTACAACACTGAGATTTGTTAACGAGGTTCGTCAACATGGATACATCCCGAGGCATAATTACAGGCGCTCCTCCTGATATACTGAATCACATAGTACAACTGATGATAAGCTCGCCAAAGCCATCAAACAGGTCTCCCACCACCCACCGCGGCGGGTTTGGCTACCCCTGTCACGGACGTCCGGATAGTCCCTCTCGTGATCCCTGTTTAGCCTATCAGCTTATGTCTAATCTATTTGGCTACCCCGCGGTGCCCTTATATAATATGCCCGGATTACACTTGTTCCACTCAAACACCTATCCCTTCGCTAATTACAAGTCTAATTGTAGCCTAACTCATACACACAATATTTGACACATATTTTAACGCCGCACATGACAATAATTAAATCAACATTAAATAGTACTAAATAGACCCAATAACAACATTTAAGTTCAACCATGCACTTATTGATATAGTTAAACAAAGTAGGCAAAATAACAAATGAATGTACAAGTTCAAATAAATAGAGGTGGTAATAACATGAGATCTTCCATGCATGCCAACTAGCTAACTAGACTTTTCGGTGGGCGGACTCAGGGTCATAGTCTGGAGTAACTGAACCATCGTGGCTGCCAGCAGGCCTGTAGTAGACCATGATCTTGCCATGATCATAGTCGAGGTAGAACGTGGCTCTCTCCCCAGCTTCCATCTTGTAAGCAGTTGCAAAGGCTCTCCAACCAGGGCAACCCAAATAGGTACGGTTTGGCTCGTTGGTGACAAGACAATTGAATTGTTGGGTTGTCGGCATCTTCATGAAGATGCACTGGAATGTGATGGTGGCATCAAGTGGAACTCGAAACTTCTCTAAGAAGTCACGCCATGCCCCGTAAGGGATGACCTGAGCAAAATTGAAAGAAATAAATAGCTAACTAGACAATTTTGGGCACAACCGTATACGTTATATGAAACTCAATCAGAACATGTTCAACTAAAACATACCGTCCTTGGTTCTGTTGTTCCAGCTCAGGGGACTTTTAATCCGGGACGGAGGTAATAGATGTTAAGGAGCTTGAGAGAAAGTCGTCAGATAAAATTCGGAGACATTGAAAATGTTTCGGAGAAAAATGGAAAAAATGAAAGCCAAAAAAGTTTCAGAATGCATCCAAAAATATTAGGAGGGTTCTGAAAATGTTTGGGGACCTCCAAATTTTTTCTGAAAGGTGCTTGACTTGGACCAAATGAGATAGACCCACATGGGCCAAAGAGTGCATTGGGGGCCAGGGGGTTGGGGACATGCGGGCATCGGAGGGGTGTCATGTGGCAACTTTTGGTGAAGGGGCCCCTCTTTGAGGGCAACTTTTGGTGAGAGGGCCCTTTGGGGCTACCTCCTTCCATGCAATCCCTCCCCTTCTCCATCTATAAATAGAGGAGGGTAGACACCATTTGACGTGCAATTTCCTGCTCTCTCTCTCTCTCTCTCTCTTCATGAAAGTCTGTTTTGCCGCAAGGCTGCTCCACCCCTCCCTAGTCTCCAGCGACGACTAGTTCTGGACGACAAAGCACTGTCGGATCGATGACATAGTATGCATGCAACCCGGTAGAGAGATCGTCATTTCGATCTTTATTCGAGGGAGAAAATTCTTACAGTTGGGAGGTTATACATTGTAACACCCCGAGACCGATGTGCCAGGTGTCTTCCAGTTATTCGTTGTCGCCGCCATGTCATTTGCTTGCGTGTTGCATTTTATCATGTCATCATCGGCATTGCATCATCATATTTTCAAAACTTGCATCCGTCCGGGTTTCCCCAGTTCCGCCCGTTGTCCATTCTGAGCCCAGACACACTTGCACGCGCCCGCGGCACGTCCGAAATATTATTTTATAAGTGGCCGGAAAATGTTCTCGGATTGGGTTGAAAGTTGGCATGTGGTCTTATTATAGTGTAGATAGACCGCCTGTCAAGTTTCATCGCATTCGGAGTTCGTTTGATAGCCCAACCGTTAAACTATAGCGACAATATAGTCGGTCAAATCGTCGGACGTTTTCGGTCTCCAGAAACAGTAGTCGGGCCTCTCTCTCTTCTCTTCTCTCAGCCTGAGGCCTTCTGCACAGTCCACTACCTACCGCCGGGCCTAAGCTAACCTCTCTCGTCATCCCGCGGCTATTTTCTCTGTTGTCCGATTTAGATCGTAGGGCTTCCATTAGTCTGCATATATACCCACTCACTATATAAACCAGCAACCCTAAAACCTAGGAGTTTGTCCCATCGCCGCCGCCATCTGACCAAATCCCCCCTTGGGATCTCCCCTGCCCGATCCAACCCACCAACCAGCGCAACCCCCTCCTCCTTGCTCGATCCCTCGTGCCCGAGGAACCAGCGTGCCCGAGCCACCTTGCCGGAGTAGTAGCAGCAACCGGCGACCACGCTGCCTCCACCTCGTCCTCAACCCCGCGGCCGCCGGATCCCCTGCGTGCCTCCACCTCGAACCACCTCGCTTCCCTGTTCCCGAGCGCCTCGGCCTTCCCCTTGAGCCAGAGCTCGCCATCGTTGGTGAACATCAGCAGCAACTGAGGCCCGCTACATTTTCCCCTCTATTTGCTTCTCGTCCTTCCCCTTCCCCTGTCTCTCCCTCACATCTCTCTCTCTCTCTGCAGGAGATCGCCGTCGCGCCCTCTGCCATGGAGCTCGACTCCATCGTCAGCAGCAGCCCCGAGCCTCGATCTGAGTCGTCGTCGGCGCGCCACTGCCGGAGCACCAGCAGGCCTTGTCAAGCGCCCCTGCATCCCTTGTCGTGCCCCGTCTCTCCTGCCTCGCCTTCAAGCCATGCCATCCCCGCCGACGACCAAGTCCAGCGCTGCTGCCTGCGCCCTCTGCCTCTACCAGGCCGCCGCCGCCTCTACCTCGACCCCCGCCCAGATTCACGCCGCTCCGTCGCCACGTCTCCGGCCACTGCCCGCCGGAGCTGCGTCTCCCTGTGCCTGCAACCGCGCCGCGCCTCTGCTTTGTTCGAGTAGAGGAGCTCGAACCGCTGCCCTGCTCGTCTCGATTCAGCAAGACCGGGCCAGCCTCCTCGTGCCCGCATGGGTCGCAACCTCCAGCGAGGCCCAGCGCGTCCCTCTCCTCTCCGTAGTGGGCCTCAGCCCAGGGTGAGCAGCCCCCGCTCCTGTGCACTTTTGGGGCCGGCTAGATTTGGCCCAGTTCCTAATTTTTTTTCGGATCTGCGTTTTAGCCATTTATCCTGAGACTGAAGTTTTACAGAAAGGTCCTCCTAGTTCATGCATAACATAACTCTCAAACCGTGCATCGGATGGAAATGATTTATATATGTAACTTGACTAGAATTTCATCTAGTTTCACAATATACAACTTTCATGCATGTTTGAGGTGTTTAACTTGCTGTTTGCTTTAATTTGCTTAAATAACATGCTAAAATGATTTAATTCATAACTAAATAACCGTAACTCGGTTTGTAACAAACTTTATATGTAAGTGGGGTGAAAAAAATGCCTAGTTTAACATGGTGACCTCACTTTGCATGTTTAACAACCCTAAAATTGTGTTTAGGGAAGAACAGTGCCAAACCTAATATATGCATATGGGGATTTACCGGAATTGTTGTTCGTTGCTTCCGGCCTCATTTAACCTTGACTAGATAGGTAGTTTTACTTTGCTTCACCCTCTTGCCATGTTTAACAACATTTAATATTGTTGGGTACATAAACGAGATCGAACTAAATAACTTGTCGTGGTGTTTCATCAATATGCAACTCGTTGCATAGTGAGCTCCACTTAATTTGTAGAATTGCTTGTGCACTTTACCATGCCATGCTTCATTAAACCGGACATGCATCATACTTGATTGTGCATCATGCCATGTTCATGTCGTGGTTGTTTACTATGCTGTTTGCTTCTTTCCGGTGTTGCTTCTTCGGATTGGTTCCGATAACGTCGTGTGAGTGAGGATCCGGTCAACTACGTCCGTTTGTCTTCTTTATGGACTCGTTCTTCTTCCTTGCGGGATTTCAGGCAAGATGACCATACCCTCGAAATCACTTCTATCTTTGCTTGCTAGATGCTCGCTCTTTTTTTATGCCTATGCTGCGATACCTACCACTTGCTTATCATGCCTCCCATATTGTTAAACCAAGCCTCTAACCCACCTTGTCCTAGCAAACCGTTGTTTGGCTATGTTACCGCTTTGCTCAGCCCCTCTTATAGCGTTGTTAGTTGCAGGTGAAGATTGAAGTTTGTTCCTTGTTAGAACATGGAGATGTTGTTCCT